TGGTCATTGCACACTATTCCAGAATTGTTGCCTTACGAACACCTAGGTTCATCAACGTAACTCCGACGACCAAGACTATGTATACTATTATATATATATATATATATATAATAGTATACATAGTCTTGGTCGTCGGAGTTACGTTGATGAACCTAGGTGTTCGTAAGGCAACAATTCTGGAATAGTGTGCAATGACCAGTAAGGGAAGAACTGGCATCCAAGTCAAATGTATTCAAAGTACAGTGGAGTATGCGGAAACAAAACAACCGGCGGATACGATAACATCCGGGCTGATACGGCGGTTAGCATAGTTCCTAGGCTAACGATACACGCAATGTGGAGAAGTACCAGTCAGTCATATCAAAGAAGACTAAAGTGTGCTTAAACGGGCGAGGAAGTATCCGGGCACCCAGCTGAATGGCAAAAGCCTGGTTAATGAAGTCTACGAGGGGACCAAGTTGATCCATGGAGTATCCTGGGTGCGCGTTTGAAGCAATTTGAAATTAGGACGGTATTGCCAATGAACAAAGTAAAATACACTTAGCCGGGCGAACGCATGGTCCCAATTCAAATAAAATGGTAGTCAGATTGGTCCACATTATCAAAAACAGCACTGCGCAGTAAGGCGTGACAAAATACAAAGGACTGACTGGTTACACTAGCTGATACGTACTAGCTCAGGCTAGTGATGCAAGAATGACTCTCTTAGCGAAAACACCTTATAATTACTACAAGTAATGACGTAAAATACGACCGCAATTCAAAGTGGTGGTTTGGACTCCCAGCTAGACATCCGAACATTGTTCCGTCACCTGAAACTTCATTACTGAGCCAAAACCCTTGTCACGAAAACAATCTGCACAACACACATTAACACTGTGTTCGTACGAGTAGACAAACAGTTGTTCGGACGGATAAAGTGTGTACGACCTGACGCCACGATCAATCCGTATACGCAAGCGCTTGAAACCGGAAGCACATCACATTATATGTGAACTGCTAAGAAATACCCGCAAAAATAAGTTGGCATGCCCAACCACACAATCGTGCTAGACGGCACTGTGGTTCGGTGAGTCCCCATGTGAACGTGTAATACTTAGGGAGAAAAATGAAATTCATGGTATCCAGACATCCATGATGTATTAAAAACTATTTGTGCGCGGCAAACTAGTTAAGTGAAGACTAAATCAGTCAAAAGGTAAATGGCTCACTTTTACATGGCAGATTTCATCGATTGAGGGTGGTTCTGGAAACTTGCGTGACCCAACATTTAGAGATCGCAGAAACCATCGCGGTGCAACTCGCGCAAAGTGTGCTGCGCTTGGTCTCTCAAAAGTCCCCATTGGCAAATCTAATGGATATGGAATGCACGATGTCGTAATGGGATGGTCACTCGAGAAGTCGTGTACTTTTGTCGACTCATTAATTCCGCCTTGTCCTCTTAGTACTTTCCACGTGTTTTGCTTATCAGGGCTACCGTTGGTTGTCAGTCCGGAAAAATCAGACATGAGTGGAGTGAGTCCGGAAGCAATGGCAGCGGCAGTTTCAAGACTAGACTCCATCCGTGACTGCACTGAAGAGAACACAGTAGTCAGTGCAGCTTCAGCGCGCGCAGATAAATAGTTTTTCAGTGGATCCCGAAACTGATTATTTGGTGGGAAGTAATACAGACAAACGCACAGTAAAGCCCATCCATCAGTCAGGCTCTTTCTGAAATCGAGAGACAAAAACAACGTGGCGTTAGAACGTAAAACACGCACAAGATAATCCGGAAGTAGAACGAAAATACACTTCGTGTAACAAAGCGGTGATCAGGGCCCATGTAAACATCAGCCTAAAAAAGCCAACCATAATTCGATGGTTTCAGTGCGTAGAACTGTGTCAACCTTTTACCACGCTCGCATTCATTTTTTTAAATGAACTGATGTGAATTGTAAAACCAGAACCTATCGGCTTAATAAACAGAGGCTAAAAAGAGATAAGAGGTTTAAGCGGTATCACTGCTGTGGTCATTAACTCGGGGTGAAAAGCAGACAGGCTGGGTAAAGAGGCTGGTGTCAGAAAATAACTCAATCTCTATCAGGGAGAGAAACTGGAGTTGTTCATTGCTTTGGACTTTGAATACACCAGGAATGTAAAGCTATACAGTGGGATCGGGCTGAAGTTGCTGTTTGCAGTTAACTTTCAACAAAAACAAAAAAGGATGCATCATCATCTAGAAGTTCAAAAACATAGCACTGAAGCCAAAATAATTGCGATTCGGTAGGACATAAGTTCAGAGGAAACACATAAGGGTATGTATGACCACGCACATTTCAACTGTGAATCGAAAACAGTGGAAGAGTAAAGAGTGGTGAGATTGTAAGCTGGTAATTCACCAGATCTAAAGTTTTTGTCTTACTGAGGAGCAATACAGACGAGTAAGGCAAGAAATCATGAGCGATTATGATAGTTCAATCCATGCATGAGGTACCGTGTGCCGTTGGAATCGCAGGCGATAGCAGAATGTGGTATCCCTGTGAGCTTTATGATAAGAAGCATATGTTGGGTGATAGTACCTTCCGGAGAAGCTGCCAAGCACTTGTGAGAAGAATATGCATTGGAGCATAAAAGGCAGAACAATCACACGGGTTAGTCTTTGAAATGGCACCTGATTAGGAGGATCATGGACGCTAAAGTCCTTACACTACTTGAATATCATGTTACCCAAATCCCTATAACTCAGCGTCGCTTTGAGGGGCCAGATGAATTAAATGATGCTAAAGATATCTGACTTTGGCATTCGGTCGACCAGAAGTGAAAAATACATGGGATAGGTAAATGAAAAATGCGGGACAAGTTTACAAGACGGGAGAGCGAAGAATGTGACAGCTTGAGACAATATTTGAAAAAGAGTTCGAAAAACGCACGTTCTAAGCAAGTTGCAAAGTCAAACCAAGTGACTCACATATCCGGGTTGCAGGATGTCTGTTTGCACAACTGCGCAAACAGTTCGTCGCGTAAACCGACGCAGTTGAGCGCCCTGTGTATGATAATCGAGCCATAATCCGGTAGACTGAGTCGAGCCTTTCGATCTCCCATAAACGATTGTATCACTAAAGCAGGTAAAGAGCCCGAAATTAGTTACTCAACTGCAAGTTCAAATTATACAAAAATAATGCAGGTATATTCGAGGGAAACCACAAAAATACGAGGTGCAAAATCACAGCAACCCAGCCTGGATATGGAAAAGTCATCGGAACAAGTTGGTATCACGCTCAATTCATAAGAAAAAAATGTGATAGGTGACGCAAATGATATCTTGATTAACAAAACACTCAAATGGATCGCAGTTGAATATCTCTCGCTTATCATGTTTTTCAAGTGAATAGTCTGCATAAAGGCCGCTTACTGTCTCAGTTGGGACGATATTCGATGGAAGGCTGTTTGACGGAATATAATGAGAATTGGTTAGCTGAAAACCCTTCGATAGCCCATGAACGACTGCGTCCTTGTCATGGCACATCAGGAAGGCGCAACACCCGAGCCTCCGTCAACTTAATGATGCGCTTGAACACCAAACACGAAATTAGAGGAATACCCTTATTGGCAACACATTCAGTTGAAGAATATCATGAACAAGACATTCATCTAAGATTCAGTTGAGTCTCCCATCAACATCAGAGTAAGTGCACTTTGCCAATGGCGAATATTTTGGTGTTCAAGTGGAACGTAAGGTTGACAGATACTTGGGGATTGTGCCTACCTGATTAGGCCCACCCATCAAGGGCTGCCGAAGAGTTTTCGGCAGCCTCGTGAGTAGCGTGTTTCGTCAGAAGAGACATCTTATTTTGTCCCACAGGTGCTATCGTTGCTATCGAAACGGAATGCAACTTAGTGGGCTTTTGTGCTATTCGGATCTTCACAGATGTACCCACCACCGACTGCATTATATTTACACACCTGTTATCACTGACGGTACACTAGGCAACAAAGGAAACAATCACCGGTAAGGAGGTATATTTACGTAGTGTTATTTTAAGTCCAAAAACGAGTCCCGTGTTGACATTTTGATGATGGTACATCTGTTCTACTTACGTTACTAATCAAAATCACTACCCCACGAAGTCTCATTTATCTCCCAAAATAGAACTGGCTATGCCAACGATAAATCCTGTTGCGGCTAAAAGACAGATTATTGTGCGCCTTAAACACTGTTTTCCATAACAAGCATTTGCTGCGTCAGTTATAGATTTGAGCTTTCGAGACAGCCATTTATGGGTGGCCAAATCCTAGAATAAGCAAGCCCGGTGAGTCAAACGAGTTGTTGCCACAGGACCATACCGGAACACTACATACAAGCGTTTGACGGAGAACTAGCGAACGCAGGAATTTTCCCGTTAAATATCCAGGGCTATTCCAGACAGTTTGAAGAACAGGATGAAATTACAAAAAATCTAAGGGTCAAATTTCATCCGAGAAGTGCAATATCATGCGAACGTGCGGAACTGCTCCCATGCATAGATAAACTAAGGGAAGAAAACAGCCTTTTAGGTAGTGCTTGCACCGTTAAAATCAACCGTCACCGACCCTACATAGTGACCTGTCTTGCACGCATCTCGCATTCGAGTCAATGGAGTGATCACATGTTGTCCAGCAAGAATACTAGCAACTGTCCCGATATCTCACACCAAAAGAGCAATCAAAAATGTTCGATTTTAAAACTATTCAAATAAAGACACCCACTGCAAGAAAGATTGAAAAAGCAAAAAGTGAAAACCGAAAGCGGCCGAAAGATTACGAATTGAGCACATTAAAAAACATCCACAGAACCTACTTTTGAATGTGTTCGCTACTTGTTTTTTCAGCGAGGCGTCCGTCGATACCAAAAGACGCTTGGTAAACTTAGCCTGAAAAGTGGTAAAATGAATGGATGGATGAACACTTCATTCACCTAATAAAGTACACATTGATCCTGCAAATGGTATGCCCCTCGACAGACGACTGCCACGCGAAAACAAAGAATCATGTGGAAACTACTCACAAGGTTGCTGAAAACTCGTCGACAGCTTTGAGGGTAAAGTAGCTCCCAGAAGGAAAAATCTAGTTTTTTGCTGAAGGTCGCAAAATGCCACCGTCCGTATGACTTGTACTCATGCTTAGTTATTGGAAGTATCATTCTCTTCCTGTGCGGACAAAATATGTTCGGGGTTAACGGGCGGAATTAGCCAGTCAGCTTATTACGCGTTGCGGCGGAGAACGCGATAAAGCAGGAAATATGGTAGGATGATTACAACTTGGTCGTAAAAGTATTGCGATCAGAGTTATCGATCACAAGGTATTTCGACTAGGAAGCATGTAATCAGAATATGGAGATCAACAGGCAATTCCCGAATTACTGGGGACAACAGAGATCACGAAAACAACTTGTGTGAGCTCGTTACTGGCCCAAACTAGTTTGATGAGAGTGATGCATGTTTGGCCACACACTACCTCTCTAAATATTAGCAAGGCAGCCGCTGGCGAAAATTTACGTAAATTATTAGCAAATAAGCTAGTAAACGAACAGCATTCAATAGATTCAACTAAAACACGGGAGAGGGAAAGTACCAAACGAACAGGAGCACTGGCTGGTTTCAGGAAATAGGGCGAGAGCAAAACGCCTGAGTGTTATCCCGGTACCTGTGGAGACCATGTATCCAACACTAAAATTATCATAGTTGTTCCAGTACGGACTGGAGGATCCCATTTTAGGAAAACAGCGCAGTTTCAAGGCGAAAACTGCCAGAAATACAACATACAAAAAGGCTTTTAGTTCGAACAGAGGTGAATGTTTTTGTATCTTCATCCACTTTAGTAAATTGATGTTCTGCTGCTACAAATTCTCTAACATTGGTTGGTAGTTAATGCTAGAAATGAGTAAACACCACTTAAACAGAACTTAGTTCAATCCGAGTGATCTGTATTTGCACATTAGAGCTTACAATTTATGGTAAGAAAACAGGTACAAGGTACTAAGGGTACAATGGGGCTAAGGTAACTGAATCACTTTGGTGGTTCCATCGACATGTTCTCCCAACCACAGGAGATTGGCGTTGGCAACTATGTTCGTCCCAGTCAGTACCGTTAGTCACAGAAGCCGTATGGCAATCTTCGACACTTATGGCATCCACGCGACATCAGTTTGCCCGTCAAGGGCAAAGTATACACTGCAGTAGTGCGATTCATGCTGCTTTATGGATCAGATATGTGGCCTCAATGTGAAGCGGTTGTACGAAAACTGTCAGTGTTTGACCATCGGTATTTCTGAAGCACTGACCGGATCTAGTGGGAACATTGGACCAGTAATGCTAAGGTAGGCAAGATAGTTTTGGGTTTTATTAATCCATCTCCCATGATGGCTGAATAAATTACACTTCATAGGTTACGCTGGTTAGGACATGTACTCCACATGCCATAGAACCGCCTACCTGGTAGGGATCTTTCAGACCAACCCTGTCCTAATAGCAAGTCTTCGAGACCTGTCGAAATGCCGCTCATGTCAGAAACGTTTACTTTTAGGGAGCTCAACTTCTGAGCCCTGGAAGGTTTGGAACACACCACATCAAATGAGCGAGTCATCCTGAGTCATTTTACCTTCGCTATGGAAGTTAGAAGACAAGAAATCCGGCATCTAAGGTTTTGATTTTGGTTTTGTGCGTCTTACGGTAATTGCGTTCGACACTGGTTAGGGAAGTTAGCAAGTTTGGATAAAAAAAACGGAATACAAAGGAACACAGATCCCGTACTATGAGGGTCCTACTGTAAAGTTAACTTCGTATCAGTTCACGAGCAATAACTGACACGAATCGATAGCTTTCAGACGGATGAATGCTAATGCTTGATTTCTCATTTTGAGCGGGGAAGTTAACACTTCCGCGCTCGTTCTCATTGGGGTATGCTATATATGCAGAATGGAGCCTCTTAAGCGACCAAGACTCATTTTCCGGGAAACGTCTCTCTCTGAAGACAGCTTGTCACTCATAATGCAACTAAATTTGAGACTGAGTCCCTTGGCTCTTTTTTCCTTTCTGTAGCACTTTCTTAGTTGCAGTGCTTAAAATCAGGATATCTACAACACACACTTATTCCACTGTCATATTGGTGAAGACGAACCAAAAACATACCTTGGTCCACGACATTATATTGGCCACATCTTGCTCAGGTTTAAATAATTGCTTGGGCCAATCAAATGGACCAACGAAACGTTCGAACTCGGGTAGCCCTGGATGAACCAAAGAGTATAAGGGGGGCTGGGGTGGGGATGTCGATTTGCTGTCTGCAGAAGTTAACCAAACAGGTTCACTGAGTTCCTCTGGACCAATAAAGCCCCCAGAAGGAGACCGTTTCGGACGAGACAAAGACCTTGCGTTCCCACTGTCCATACAAAAGACATCGGACTCAGAAACTGGTTGCCCAGCTAGATGACCCTTCTGCTGCCCATCCCAATTGGCCGTCGAGTGTGAGACCCAAGTTGTTGTAGTCGAAGGTGAGGTCACAACTGTCGGAACTGTGCCGGCAGAATGGTTTAAAGCCAGACCGGGTGTACAGGAAGGACCGAGAAGAGGTGTCGTACAGGATACCTCCACGGATGAACCAATGTAATCATGTGTCCCGTCTGGACTGAGGCCGGATGTTTGAACATCTAGACAGTCGGCAAAAAAATACAAGAATGTTTTGATTGAGCGAACGATCCATCGATTTGTAATAATTCGTAAATCGTGCCTAAACGCAAAACACTAAAAAAACAACCGAACCTCTTAAGCGATCAAAAGCGAATACAAACAAGTAACTCAAGTTGTGAACCGCGCCTTCATGTCAAGATGCTCCGATTTCGCTCAAATGTCATGATAAATATCTAAAAAGGACGGACGCATCCCTAAAGATGGTTATCCTGCCAGGTGCGCACAACCCAAAACGTTGCAAATCCCTTGGGACATTGTGATCTCATACCAGAACATTTTGACCCCTCATCTGGAAATGCTGAAATTTGTGAAGGATGCTTTAATACAGCGTAATTGTAGTGAGGAAAATGTGTCTTCGTGTGTCACAGTCGGGGTTGGTAAATGACGTGAACAAAACAAAGTGTGCATTAGAATCGACGCAATAACGGGTATCAATACTGATGAATCGCCTGTATGTAAGTAACTTCAAGAATACCCGGAATTTAGCTCGTCAGCCAAAAATCTCAGACACAAGTCAAATTACACTGATCTGACGTAGCTGACGCTAGGGAAACGAGAAACCGGATCCCTGAGTTACTGATTCCCATAAGTCACTACCAAACAGAATGTCAGTGATTTGCGATCAACATTTTCGGCACATTAGTGCCTTGCGACAATACCAAGACAAAAAAGAGATGAAAACGTGAATACGACAATCGTCGTATTACGTCAGCAGACGTGTCGGCGAACACGTATTTCTTCAAAGCACACGTGCCTCCTTACTTAAAAGAAATTCGATCCTTTTGCAGTTCGGATAAACAGTTCAAAACAGACAGAGAGAACTACTGACGAACACGTCCCACGATGGTGTCAGTCCGTGTTAAATTCCTTCACTAAAGATGTATTGAACATTACTTGCTCAAGTGAATGCCTTATAAGCGGTGCTAGATGCAATCATTTACATTAGACAAACGTTTGGAAATCCATCAATAAGCCCGATGACACATGCTACCAGTTAGACTTTTGTCTCTATTCCAACGTGCACACTGAGCTTCCCGTATGATTTTTCCAATTTCTCGACCACAATCACTTAGGAGTATAGGCATCAAGCCAGGGAAATTATCTGTCCAGCTTACGTTGGACAGCTCCCCAAGCAACCGGCCAATGTTTTATTTTTATTTGTCGCCAGTAAAAATACCCTTTCAAATGAGCGGATCAAGCTGATTCGAAAGAACACTTCATCAGCTGTTTTTAGGGAATAATCCAATGTAGACTGACCTTCTTTGGCTGCTGCACATACTTTTGATTGATTGTAACCAGACTACATACTATAGGGCGGGCAAGATCAAACATGCATCTACTGAAACCTCGTATTTTTTTTTCGATATTATCTCAACTACTTGCCAGTTCCATTTAATGATTGTTTTTCTCTAGATGCCAGCAGTAGGGACAGGAGTCCAGCATCCGAAGAAGTGACTAACAGCGTAACGCCGGCTCCTCAAACCTCGTTCCATTATTCTTATCTGAGCATTTCAGGTATGGACTTTGAAACAAACCAGCCAACAAGCTGCTCTGGTGCACATTCCTGTATTTTGGAAACTGTAGTATGAGATCCATGTACCACAATCGAAATTACGGCACCTTTCCTATGTAGACACCAGCGCCTAAGAATCTCGTGTGACCCTGTACCTGCCCCAGCGAGATATGCCGACGCTAGTACAAAGCTCAGCTCCCCAGCTGAGGCTTCATTACCCGATTGAGCCCCCCTTAAGAACCAGGGTGCGTTGTCAAGTTTAACAGGAAGCTACACTGGTGGAAATAATACTCGCACTTTCTTTGTATTTCCCGCATATGCACAAACTAACTGCCATTTTGATTCGGTAAAAGATGCTTTGTATCGGAACTAAGTTGTCAAATCGAGCATAAGGAATTCATATATAGAACCAGTCACCGGCGATATCAGCGCAAAATTAGGACGTATCAGTTCATTAGAGACACTATTCGCTCACATTGACCACATATCCATCACACAGCGGCGGCGTCCTATTCAGTACAGCTGACCCTTCCATATAACTCACGTTTATCCGTGATTTTCTATAAGTCCCCTTGGAACCAAAGAACCAGACTTTCTGTTTAACCATCAAGAAGTTTTCTGAACAACAAGTTGAACCATATTATCAAACGAACCTATAAAAAGTTCTAGAATCCGCAACCTTAGGAAGCAGTAACAGTAATTGGAACACGAGAGGCAAAATACTTGGAATGAGATAGTTCTGCATGCCCACCAAGTAAACACTGGGTTTCATAACGGCCACTCTTGCTCCTCAGTGTGAGACGTATCCTTTCGAATACTGATCATTATCCAGCCAAAAGGCCTGTTGAACGTCAGTGAAAGCATGGTGTGCGTACGGATAGGGAAACCTGGGGGGAATCAGGGAGCTCTGGAAATGGAGAAAGCCCGAGTAGCTGAGAGTGAAAGCCGGCTGTTATTGGCATCATCGAGGAACCGGCGTCTTGATTATTAGGCCGAACAACCCGGAGAAAAGTTTAGTGGGCCATCTGCCCCGTACCCATGTTAATAAGCCGTCCCACTCAGCTCAGGTTTAAGTCTGTGAGCTTGAACCCACCTTCAGATATGAAGTGCACCGACCACGTCTTCACGTTACGTTAAAAGCTTGACCACTGTCATGCATACCGCCAACAATTCTCGCCGTTTTTCTCAACTTCAAAGGAACCTATCCTTACGTAGGTTGATTGACTCTTCTGCATAAACATGGTCAATAAGAAATGTCCTCGAAACTTTTGGATATTCTTCCCCATTTTTCTGGTGGCGTTTGAGTTTACAATCAACTATCCAAGAGCTTCCACATAACTAGTAAAGTTTACCAGGGATAGTCTGAATAACAATAAATAATCACTCGTGTTTGACAAGCTTTCGGTGTTCAGATGTCAAGACGCCCGAAGAAAGAGTGATGGCTGAGATACTAAGAGGTCGCGGTCGAGACGGAGAGGTTGGATTCGACCCATAAACTTTCCGGTCAGTAATTTCGCGCCTCAACCAGGCAGCTAGCTCGAGCTATCCCCAATTTTGTTCAATTCTGTTACTGGTAGCATCATGGAGCGCATTCTCCAATGGACAAAATCACATCTAGAGAAACATTAGTAAACTTAGATTGAGCGGACAGCACCGTTCTACTATTGGACAGTTAACCGTTTGCGAAAACCACTGCAAATAGAATATCCCTGTTTCGGCGTGCAAGGTTTCACCTGAGGAATTCCCATTCCCACGTATCACTTCAAATTTTCAGAATGGGATTAACCTGTCTTGGCAACTGAATAAGGCGCATCACCAAAACACGGCCAGTAGTTGCCAACCTCCATCACTTTCGTTGTCAAAAACAAGCAATACCGAGGCTAAAGAACCGTGTCTAAAAATGACCGTGACAGCAATCCTACTCTGTGGCTTGAAAACTTGGACCCTTCAACTTGAAGAGTACAAACTGCAAGACCCATTTATTTATTCACCCGTTACTGCCGAGGGAGGGATTCATCGGAGCTTGCTCCTTCGATCGTCTGACTGTATCTTTCAAACAGGTAACTCAGCTTTGTTCATTCAGTCAGTCAAAGAAGTTACTATCACACTGTGTGAAACATAGCTCCTCTTATTCTTTTTCCAAGAACATCCGGTTCGCGAAACTCTATCAATCCCTACCTGGCCTAATTTATTTACTTATCAATCATTCAGAAGTTGCGTTGGCGTGCACCTCAGTACGCTTTGAAATTCCCCCATTTCTTACTACAGGGCTATTGTCCGTGGTGCACACAACGAGTGTCTCTTCAAGAGTTCCAACTGTGCAATTTATATCCGCACAAATCGTAAGAAGCCTGCGACCTGCACTCGAAGAAATAAATTGCATTCCTGCGAATCCTGCGTGACTGGAACACAAGATTGGCACAGCACGCAAAGAAAGCACGTTGGCTATAGGTGACATGAAAAGTCAACAAAACATATCCGGTAACTCGACCAATGATTCTACATAGAGTGAACTGGACTGACTTACAATAAGAGTTGTCCATTGGAAGGAACCCGGGGCGACACTGACTATAGAACGGAGTGAACCGCCTGTGATTGGGTTGAATCACATGGGCACGCATGGGGTCGTTGCGAGAAAGAGAGGAAACAACAGGAGCCCCTCTTAGGGATAGCATCTCTGTTGGCAGATATGGGCCAGGTGGGAAATAATGGAATCGGGGACTGTATACGATACATGGTGTCCTTTGATCTGGCAGGATATGGGACTGTACGGTGTTGGTGTGGTACATATGTCCCCATTGGTTGAACTCGTCAAAATATCCAAGAGCTGGCTCCTGGTGTAACCGATTCTGACCTAAAGTCGACGCAGACCGTGGGGGCGGTATTGGCGGTCGTTCCAGGTCTTCAGCCTCTATGAGGTGGTTAGTTTGTGAGCCATTAGGAGGATATGAAACAGCCAGTTGATTAACAACTTCTTCACCAACGTAGTTCATTATTGGTACACTCTGATCATTTGGCTGGGCGGTTATAACTGTGGTTGCGGGATTCGGAGGTACTTCATTTTCAGATGCTTCCTCAGATGTGGTGTTCGTCAGAGCAGTGGCCGATGAAGCTCGGGAAAATGAGGAAGAAGAAGACGATGGGTGTAAGGAGTCAGAAGAAGCACTTTTTGTGGAACACGAAGCTCCACTCCGTTCCAGCTGTTTAGTAGCACATTGCTTCGGAGCAGTTTGAGACAAAGGGGAATGCTGAAGCTTTATGGATGAATCTGACCGGAACACTGAATTTGGGGTTTCAGTGTTAACACAGTCGATGGCGTTTGGAGGACGTATGCCTGAACTGAACATGGGACTAAGAGGTAGCGATGGAGTAAAGAGAGAGGTAGGATTTGCGTTACGTTGAGGAGTTGTCCTAACAGGTTGGATGGTATTCGGTTCAACGGGAGAGTGTGTGGCCGACGCATTAGTTGGGCGATCCAAAGTTGTGGTCAGAAAGAAATTGGGGTTTTTAGACGGCATCGAATTCGCGGCTGTTGGTGGCCGAGAGATGCTTGGGTTCGTCCGAGGAAAAGCTCGTTGTCGGGTGGCTGGGATAGGTTCAACTGACGACAAAGAAGAATAGGAGGAGCGATCATGGGAAATCGATGGATATGACGTATCTTTAGGTGGGGTTCCTGAGGTTGCCATGGCAGTAACAACAGGTTTGCTAACCGAATGGTCAGATACGATATTGAGAACCTCGGAAACATTCGCTGTAAAGTTGCTAAGTGGTGCGGCCGGAACCGCGCTGTTGATAATGCGGTTATCAAAACGGGACTGCAACGACATGGTGTTTGGTGCTCTTCCAGGTACAGACTGTAGGTGACTGTGAACTTGGCTCTCAGCTATGCTATTTCGGATGGGATGCACAGATGTATGTGGTAACCCATACCGTGCATCGGTAACAGGATGAAAAACAGAATGACCATTCTGTGACATTCTACTATTTGCGTGTTGCTCGGGCATATTATGTGTGTTAGTGCCGAGTGAGTTGGATGCGAGTGAAGGACAATTTTCTGCCGGGATGGACAGAACGCTTGTAATTGGAGTGGGTAGCTGATGCACCCGGCGAACAGGTCTATCCGAAAGGCATCCCGGACCTTTACTGTCTCCACACGATAGGCTCACAAGCGGTTTGTCTTCAATTGTACAATTAGTTCCACGCAACCAGTCACGTATGCGTTGACTGGTACCATCCGAAGGGAGCTGAGATTGCTGTTGATCATCCGCAGTAAGCTGATGTGTGTGACGACGATTTTCCGCGAAGTCCTCTAGATCCTGGGTCATACGAGAACGACATTCTAGAACGGATGTCGGTAACTTGCGATGCTGAGTACGTCTGCCGGTACAAGTAGTTGTACTGACCTTTGGAACCGTGCGACGGAGAACTCCAATGTCCTGCAACGAAATAAACATAGAACCGTGCAAGCTACACCAAAATTGGGTTGAACAATAATGGTAAACACGAAAAGGATGATCAGAAGAAGAACAGACGTGGCATGCAAGTAGCAAGCTAAGCTCAAACTGCAAACTAATGTAAAACCTGTAAACCCAATTGCTCCCCATAAAAATGAGTAGCCACAGCTTAACTGCGAAGTGCAGTAGTGACACAATGAACTGGAGTGAACCACCATGTAGCACCTTCCAGCGAGGTCTCCAATGACATGTCACAAAAGTACCCAGTAAGAGGGAGAATTTACCTTCCTCGAAGCGGTATGCCTTGTGGATGACTATCGTGTCAGGTAATAACTAAATATGTGGTCAATAACAAATGCAAGTTCTGAATTGTCAATAGCAGATCATTTGCGATAGAAAGTGAACCTGTTCAAATTTGAAGCAAGCTCAGTCGGTTTAAATTTTGCACAAAGGGAAGCTGAACTGTGCCAGAACGAACACGAAAAGTGTGGGTTAGGATTTTCACAGAAGGTACATCACAAGTGACAAGATAGCATACCCCCAAGACATCCATGAAAATTTGTAACTGGTGATGGAGTTCCGTAGTTTTGACTAAATTGTAGGTGGTATCGCACTAAGGAAATTATATTTTGGGAAAGGCGTTCGTGTCAAATTCCCTTCAGGATAAGTTAATTTTCTGGACATATAATGTAGTCGGATACCACTCGATCCTGATCACAAACATATGCACTGCAATCCATAATTGCTTTTCGGTCACAATGACCGCTCACTCGTATTACGGCAAGCGACCTAAAAAGATCAGACGGCTTGACTCTAACTTCTCTTGCACTTTTTTCACAAGGCTTCGATTGATTACATGGTTGAGCATAACCCCAGGCCGTTGTTACCATTACGCAAATTCAAAAAGCACTTCGAACCATTCCATTCTCTCTGCCGAAACCTGCCCGAAGCTGTAGCACCGAAGCACCAAATGCAATGGTTCTTGAGGGCACTACGCACTTGACGACAGTGCTTGCTAGACAATAAAAATTAGGTGAACATCTTTTATGAAAGTTTCAATTCTTTCACAGTCAGTGCAGAGCTAGATAATCTCAGTCGCAAATTTAATGGCTGGAGCAGATCCACAAACACTTTTGGGCGTGTCTGTAACAAACACAAGTGTACAGTTGCAAATTTCGACCCATTCGAATCATTCCTACCGCGACCACGTATTTTATTTGGCAGTTTGTTTACAGAAATAGCTGTGTGAGGTGTAAATATACCACCTCCTCGTGGAACGCACCTACTCCGGACTCATTTCCAACACCGTAAAAAATTACATCTGCTTTTATACCAGCTGCAAGGTGAACAAAGTCTTAATTAAGTTGACACGGTTTCTGTGCCGGCGTAACAGTGCATTGTTTCGCCGTGTGATCAATCGTCCATAGCCCCACCTTCACGCGTATTTACGTGAAGCACAAATGCATGAATGCCAGGGCCAAAGTGCAATCAAAGCTCTTGGGAGAATTCTCAGGAAAGACATGTGACTCAAGTGTTCCCAAGCGCTACAACGTGTTGGGAAAGTCTGTAAAGATATAAAGCTTAAAGAGACCCAGTTAAGTTGCACGGATAGTCATTCCATCAGATCCGGTTGGATACATCCAAGCGCCGTAAAAGCATGACCAATCAGTAGCAACTAAATTTTATTGCAAAATCTAGTCCATTAGTTCGTTTCAGACGTTTCTCAAAAGCCGGGACAGCCTTCCGTGAGCCACAGATCAACTTATATTCTGGAAAATGTGCGAGTCATTACCCATTGTCCTAGTAATTAGATGCGTGCGAGCAGAAAGATTAGGAAAATGCCCCAACCACGTAAACATGACCGGATTGTGTACCCGCGAGACAATGTCACACACACAATCTAATCCGTATGGCATTTGCACCACTGTGCGCAACGACGCTATTGACATATTATGCAAATGTTTCGATGGGTCCATAGGCCAAAGTGCACACAGCATACTAATGCTCCTCTATAGTAGGATTTTGGTGTGCATACGATGCCAGGTGGTTTGTCTAGTACGATCAATCATGGGGACACGCCAAAGCAAGGTAAGACGCAGAGTTGAATTAAGGGAGTAAATAAAAAAACTTAGTCAGTCGCAAAGCATCTATCGTCGGGTAAATAATTCGTTTGCAGCAGCGCGTTCTTAACCGGATCAATCACCTCAATAAAAAGTAGTGGCCGAATAACAACACAGAAATGGAGCACAGTCGAAATTGCACGTTGCACCTGTTCACTATGCTGACGTGCTAACCAGCAGACAGGGACCAAAACGCATTCAACAGTGTGCTTCTTGTAATTTGGAAAAAAAATTCCTATGCGTCCAGCGTGCATTGGTGGAGTAGTGGAAACACGCCTCAAATGTCCGAAGTTCACATCCCGACAGCGCCAAGGATATACATTGCTGAAGAGCTCCAATAATAGCGAAACTCGAGTCGTTTTTTCCCGCTTTAGTTTGGACTCACAAGAATAATTATACTAGGACAGGAGGACGACTGCTCAAACGACAGTGACGTGAGTGTGAACACTACAAATATCGCAACCACTTGCAACAAAACTCATTTTTTGTTGTGTTCACTTTGGAAAATGTTGCCTTTTGTCGCACCATGTTTACCACAGCCTCATTCACTGTTTTTCCTAGCGAAACGAACTTATCCCAGGACAAGGAAAAATAACGTCGATGCAGTAAATGAGCAGAATACATGGGATATTAAAATTTGGATGGTTCAAAGTAGACGGGATTATGATGGTTGAGCAGTGCTGCATACTTTTCCCGGAACGAAATCCACGAAAATTCATGGAAGTACTTAAACGATCACTGTTAATGCTCAATGCGATTCCTTGAAGGACCTTACTCGTTAAAAAAATTTAGTTTTTGAGCTTAACTTGCATCGATAACGCGAAGTTTTAGGCAGTAGTAGGTCAGCTTATGCGATGGGGTCCTACGGTCTAATTTAGATGGAAATTTACGGTAAAACGGAATGGAGGGGAAATTTAGAACTCTTTTAGAGAATCGATACTTGGGAGAGACAAACTGGCTTGAAAACCTACATTTTCCCTTCTTACCTCAGTTCAACAAAACAAATGATCCACACTCGAGTGAGAACCGAACAACAGGCCATTTGTCTCGTGCATGACACAAAAATGGCTCAATGTTATCATCACTCTACCGTAAATCTACTTGCCCAAAATGTTAATTCCCACAAACCCGAGAGAACTACAGCGCTGTTTTAACAACGGAGGGTGAATTCGTACATCAAACATACTGAGTAAAAGCTCCATCCGTTAAACGTCAGGAGTTGAGTATCCTGCCAGTTTGATCAGGGAGCGTCTCAGAATCAGTAGCAAGCAACAGTGAACGAGTATAAAATGTAATAAACTAGCTTATCAGCCGTCATCGTCATCGGCATTAATACAGTACAGTAAAATACAACATTACAGTACAAGCTGTTACCTATCACACTAGACTACGTTCAACTCCACAGATCAGAGATTTTTTCGTTAAGAGTTATACTGGGTATGGCTGGTGACATCCATGCTAGTGATGAGTGCGGCTAATGAGAGGTTAGAAGTGTCGGTTGTCCGATGGGATGAGCTTAGACATGCCGTCGATTAAAGAGGCCGTTGACTGATAGATTAGATGTAAGCCTAAAGGTCGGATATCCTCCGGGTGCAATATTCCACTTGGAGCTAAAGTGTTTCTTCAAACAAAATCATCATCATACCTCATGAAACGACTATCTGTTAGCTTTGTTTTCGCGAAAAATCCTGTAGCTGTTATCCGAAAAACGGCAAAATTGCTTTGCCGTGTAGTTAATGTAAACCCTTCGTGAAAAACAATTCAATCACATAAGAAGCGAGAGAAAAGTGTTTCGAGAACTTACAGGAAGTTTGTATGTTTACGAACGTTGGACAACAGTCCGTCTACGACAAACTTCCATCTAAGCAACCCCTCGAAGAAACAGTCTTGACATCTGCTAATTTTCACTCTTAATATCTCTTGAATCTGCATCTGCGACGCACTTTGAAAGGGAAAATTGTGCCGTTTGATTTATGTTTGTCGGATCACAAAAAAAACCCCAAGTACTGGGTACATCGTCAGCGTAAGACTAACACATAGATAAAACAACTTCGTACGAGTGATTGACAACCCCACCTGTTGCTTTGACTGCATATCGCCTGCCAGATAGAGTGAAATGGATCAAATTCTATCCATCCTAAGCGATTCAACACACAATAAGTGAAAATCATTTAATGGATGAATGCAATTCGGAAGGAAGGAAGCGTTCAGCTGTAACACCCTTCCGGTGCCTAGCTGCCATGCCACCAGAAGGAAGCACGAGGGCTGGGATACTCCCAGGTTGCCGAAGCCTAAACAGGGGAAGTCGAGTGGCGGATTCGAAGCACGGACCTTCTGGTCGGTAAATTGCGCTCTAACCACTTGGGCCATCTTGCCCAATTCATTACCTATTTAATTTGTGAAGTGCTAGTAGAACGGTCATATTGATGGATTCACCGAACAGCTACAAGCATTACGCTGGAAACAGTGAAGTGTGTCGTAAAAAGACGGGATACAGCAGACGGATTTAGGAATTCATATATGGTTAGCCCATGTCAGTCCAAATAACTGAGTCGAGACTCATACGTCAAGAGGAAGAGGGATAAAGTAGGAAGACAAATATCAAACGGTGGTTGGTCTTACCTAAACAAGCTCGCACAACACTGAAATAATGATGCCGCCTCAATTTGATGGTCCTGTCCAAGCCTAGTCTTACAGTGGCAACCTTATTATGAGGTTAGTTTCATAAAACTGATTGGTGTTCCCTATAAAGCGAGAATACTGCACTGCTCCAAGCCAAGTGGTAATGGTTCCGAATTACTGCTATGTGATTGTTACGGGAGTGGCCACCCAGAACATGATGACCAGATGACTACTTCACAT